CCGGGAAGAGCTTCCCCGGGGTTCGCCCTGCTGGGCGCTCTTGGGTAACGCTGCAGAGCAAGTTACCCTTGCCCTCATCGTCCACCTCGTTTACGTTCACAAATCTAGACGTTTTCTATGTTTTCCAAATGCCCGTGAGTTCAAGCTAGTCAATCTCACTCAGATTTTAAAGTGCTTACATAGAATGACAGAAATCTCATTTTCTTCACCTAAATACCGCTAACAAGTACTTAGCTTATGAAGATAAGTGTTTTTTCTGTTTGTCCCTTGTCTAGCAAAGAGAATTTGGTGTCTGAACCGCAGGGGCCTGGAGCACTAGACTTCTCCCAGGGTTTCAGTCCTCTACACCTCATCTTTAGACAGTCACGGGTTGTTCCAGATCTGATACCACTCAGGGAGGATCACATGTTTTTGAGTAGTTCCCTGAAGATAGGACACACTTTTAAGCTTGTGTTGCTTCTGCTTCTTGAGTACTGCATGAGGTTCAGGTACTTCACGCCATCTCAAAGAGGGAGAGAGGCCTGCAGAGCTGGAGAATAACGCAGGGAAGGACAGCATGAGCAGAGGAATGATGTGATTTCCACATGTGGAGCACTTAAATGGATGAGGACTCTTCGCCCTGGAAGAAAAGTGTCTCCCATGACTGAGGGGAGAGTTGAGAGAAGTCTGTCAAAGTGGCTTGAAGATTACAAATGGGAAACGAGTGTTAAGTAAGGGTAGTAATAGTTATAAACTGCAAAATTCATTACCATGGGATGTACTGGATGCTGAAAGATTACGTGAGTTTAGAAAGCAAATGAAGGAAAACTCTATTGAGGGTCATTGCTTGCAGGAAACATCGCTTCTGCTTCCAAAGTCCTTGAAGATGCTCTCCAGCTTCTGCTGTTCCATAGACATCTGTTGTTGACCATTATCAGAGCAGGAGGAGGTGGACCTTTGATCTGTCTCAGTACAGCTTTGTATATTCTCCTTTTCCACAGGAGGTAGTTTATTTTGCCACAGAAAAATAGAGGTAGCAGAAATTTCTTTTGAACGCATATTTTCAGCTCAGTAAGCTGTGTGTTCTGGGCAAGCCTACCTGAAAAGTGTCGGTTATTGTGAGCTTGCTGTATTATCCTTCTTCCCACTGGCCACTATTGGACACAAGGCACAGAACTAACTAGATTAATCTTTGGTTTGACCCAGTACAGCAATCCTTACTGAGTTCTGCAATGTTTCAAGGCAGTCTTGGGTTTTGGTTACAGACTCCTGGAAGCAGATTAGGCAGAGGTACATCTGAGCCCAGCCTGCTCTTTGGGCTTTGTTTACTCTGTAAAAATCCTCACTGATGTGGCTTGGTTGGAGGCTTTCCATTGTTTCAACCATCTCAGAGAAAGCAAATGCCTTTTCTGGTTTTAGTTGGTGTCAGCCATAATTTATGTAGTGCTGTAAGGTTTAAGTAACACCTTCTGCTCACACGTGTTTGAGTTTAAATCCATATTATTTAAAGATCTGATGGCATTGGTTTTGTTAATAATGAATTTTAGAAAATCTATTTAAAAGTGTAAATGAGAAGAATAGTCTGGCTCTGTCCTCTTCAACAAAGCAGCTGGAAATTAACCTAATTTTTCTTAATAAATGGATTTTTGCAATGTGCTTTAAATGTAATATTAATTATATTTAAGACTGAGCATTTGACTAACTGCCCAATGTGTCTGTTTCACACGCCACACTAATGTGAATTCATTTTAGAGGCAGTGGTGCTTATTGGTATCTACAAAGTTTGAATTGTCTCAAGACCCAGAGACACCACAGGTAGCTCTTCTTCTGCACCACCTTTATGTGTTAAAATGCTACAGCTTTTGTTCTACAGGGGATTTTAAGTGTTGTTCCCTCTTATTCTTGGGTACTACGCGTAAAATATTCTACAAATATTTCTTTGCCTCCTGAATGATTGCTCATCTTTCTTATTTTGTCATTTGAAGGTTGAGGATCTTTAGCTGGTAAGTGTCACAGATTTTGTTTGGGCGTTTTTTGTTTGGGTTTTTTTTTTTTTTTTTGAGAAATGGTATTTGCTATTATTAACTGCACATCATGCCTGTTTTCTGTAGCAAGTACTTGCTTCATAACTACATCATAACATTTTGCTGGTACTCGAAGAAAGCTATTGCCTGATTATTCCACTTTTCTTTGTCTTTCTCAGTTCTGTGCCAATGACCCTGAAGTGTTTGTCCAAGCCGCACTGTTGGCTCAGGATTATTGTGATGCCATAGACCTAAATTTGGGTTGCCCCCAAATGATTGCGAAGAGAGGTATGTGCAAATCTGAACCCTGGGTAAACAGAGAAATGGCATGTTTCAAATGTGAACGTTGGCAGTAAAACATCAAGAGGACCAAATTAAGCCTTGATGTAGGGGAGTGGCTGCAGTACTGCTGATCAGACTTTAGTTATGCCCACTTTAACAGGTAATGCTTTGTAGTACCTAAAGCAAAAATTGGATACACTAATAATTAATTCCAGCTTCTTCTGAGCGACAGCTCTTGTGCCTAGAATATCCTTCAGAAAAAGTATTTCTAGCAAGAGCTTGATTTTCTTTCTGATTTCAGTTGTTCAAACACCCGAATTTTGCAAAACTGCATTTAAAATTATATCATGCAGGCACTTAGCGTCTCCTGTTTCCTCGATATTTGCACAGAGTTTATTCACATTAGCGTGTAAGAGGATAACACCTGCTGAATCCCTTAAGGATATTACAAAGGTAGCTCAAACAGAACCAGTGTTTGAAAATTTTGGATCAGTTAGGATGTTGAGGAAAGATTTGTTCAGTAACTGCCCATTGCTCTTCTAAAATGTCTTTCAGAGACTAATAGGAAATGATCAGTGGTGTACAGGGCAAATAGATCTTTCAATCTGATCAGGTTTTATCCCGAAGGGAATTATTAAACACCTGGTACCAACCCCTGAAAGCTGGACTTTGAGCTGCCAGCCTTAGAGAGTAGCAGTGAAAGTAGGGTGTGGGGATTCATTGTTTATCTTGTAAATCTAGGGTGGCATGGGGAACAGAGTGATCCAACTATTCCAGTTTGGGCAGGACAGAGCAACTCTCTTTCTGCCAGTGAGGCATATGAGTGTCTGGATCTTTGTATGTGAATGTTTACGAAAGCTGTATACTTCAGAATCTTACTCTTCTGTACAAGTCTGTCATATGCTATTTTATTATAGGTCACTACGGAGCATTTCTGCAAGAGGAGTGGGATCTTCTTCAGAGAATGAGTAAGTCTTTAGAGAGGCTTCACTTTGAGAGGGAATGGGATAAACTCATCATTGAGACGAGGTTTAGGGATGTGGGGGGAAAGGAGGTGCAGCATGTTTCTTTTGGGAGGGTTGTGTTTGGTTGGGTGTTTTGGGTTTTTTTCTTTCTTACTGTATTCCAGTGGCACCATCAACATGCTTGGTGGTATCCTACTACAAACTCATGCTAGATCTGCTAAAAGACTTCAGTACCTGAAACAGACTTTAGTGAAAGTGAGTCAATTAAGTCCTAATCTAATGATGGCTTAGTGGCTCTCCAACTGTAGAAACAGCAGAACTCCCAGTGCGTTACTTTTTCACTTTGAAGTTCTCGGGTGCCAGGAGTTGTGTTTCTGCTTGAAGCCAGAGTCGCCCTTTTCTGATCAACTCAGCATACTGTTTCTGTCCACACCATAGCAAGTTATGCCTCTCTTCTCCAAATTTGTGTAGGATGTTCTCAGGCTATTGATAGTGATTGTGAACAGTATCTTTTTTTTTTTTAAGAAATAGATTTGGAACTAATTTAAAGAGCAAGGTTTTGGTCATTGTGTAGAGCTGAGAATGTGTCTGCACCCCACTTCAAAGCAAGTATCTGAACCGTGAAGTTAGAGAGTCTTACTTCTGTTTGCGTTCCCTGTGGTCCAGGAATCCTGAATGATGTTTGGTACAAAGACACTGCTGAGAACCTGGAAAGATAGACAGTACTTCCCTGCCCAGCATGCAATGTTGTTGTTAGGGCACTTTTCTTTGGAGTGAAAGATGCAAATCAGAACAGCCTCAAGGTGAGAAGAGAACCCACGTCATCTAGTTGGGTGAGAACCCAGGCTGTCTAGTAGGAGAGTTGCCTTATTAGGGTATTCTATAAAAGGTGGGCAAAGCTTCCTCTTCCTCCTCCTCCCCCAGCCTTCTTTAAAATGATGGAGTACTATCTTCTGCTTGCTCCTATATATACCTTGCTTGCTCCTTTGAAAGGATGATAGGAAGTACCTATCGTTAGGATTTGGATTAGAAGAAAGCAGGTGAATTCCTACATTATACATCCAAGCTCTAGGAGAGAAGAGAATTTCAGACATGCCATTGCTCAGTGTTTTCCTGTTGACTGTCTTTGTTAGCTCTCTTTTTTAAGTAGTTTTCTGATTCCGTGCACTGTGTAAAGACTATGGGAGTTTAACATGTTCTAGATTTCACCCTGACTCTGTAACCTATGTTTACTACTTAATTGGGTCCACTGCCTACCTCAATTGATAAGCCTCTGCTTGCCATGGACAAGACTCTACTTGTCTTGATTATTTGGGTGATAATCTGAAAATAAGCAAAGCATCTCTTGTAGGAAAGGGTGGACAAGCAAGTGTTAATATTGTTGGCAGAGTAGGAGGAGTACAATAGCCTGTGACAATAGTAAGCCTGTATCGATGATTAAGATTTGAAGGGGGTGGTCCTTGAAAGTGAAGGTTTGATGCAGTGGAAACGCTAGGGGTATTAAATGCTGACTATTTTATGCCTTCTTGTTAGAATGCAGATTTTGTGCTTCATGTTTTACTGTTACTTGATTAACCTATAATAAGGATTGCATAGGGCATTGCTGATTATTTAAGCTGTGAGAACTGCATAGCATTAACTTTTCAGGCTTTTTCCATACCACACCCAGTATGAGATCTTGAGGAGAGTAGGCACTTTTCATAGCATTGTGCAGCCCACTTACCTGTCTTTTCAATCTTTCCCAGTTTTACTGGCTAACGAGAAGCTCTCTGTTCCCATCACATGCAAAATCCGCGTTTTCCCAGAAATTGACAAGACAGTGAAGTATGCACAGATGCTGGAGAAAGCTGGCTGCCAGGTAAGGAGGCAGCTGCTCCCTGTACTGTTGCACTGGACACGTGTCTCTATGTAAAGCATCTGATGACCAGATCTTGGTGTACTGCGGAGATGAATAGGCTACGTTGTTTTACAGACAGAGAAAACGGGATGCAGAGAGATTGAATGTATTTGTAGTCATAGGCAGCAGGTCAACGGTATGATATGGAAGATGTCATGACTTCAGAATGTCTCTTTTAATCACTGCACAGTGCGGCATCCTTCACTGTGGTTAAGCATCTCAGTCTAACGTAGTGTTGCAGGAGGCACTGTGAATGCATGAAATCTACAGGGCTGTAGAAAAAAGCAGTATCAAAGATGGCCACCACTAGTGAAGAAATAGGCCGCCTTCTAGGATTTAACTCCAGTTGAATTGCAAGAGACAGTCTCTAGTTAGAGCCAGTACTGACAGTATTCAGGCCTTCTGCTGAGGAGCAAGCCATATCAATATATCACAAATTCCAAAGTGAATCATAACCGGGAGCCAATGCAATAGGAAGTCTGTAGGTTCTCCCAAGATATGACCTTGTCATGCTGTGGAATAGCAAGCTGAAAGAAGCCCAAGACCGTGCCGTGGTAGGTGAGCTGCTGATACCTTTCTGTGATACAGAAATTTCAACAGTCCCTGCACTGTTGAAATAGCAGTGGGAATTCAGTGGCATCCATGAAGTATATGGGGTAAAAGGAAATTTTTGTCAGTGGATTTGTTCCAGTGGTTCATACACTGAAAAGTAAATGTGACTATGTGTTTTAGCTGCTGACTGTGCACGGCCGTACTAAAGAACAGAAAGGACCGCTTGCTGGCGTGGCATCTTGGGAGCACATTCAAGCTGTCAGGTTAGTGAGCAGTACCAGTGTTAGTGGATTTCTTCTAATGTGCTGTGAAGGTAGATTTTAAGCAGGGCGTGCAGTGGCATTGAAGACCAAACAGATTTGTGTGGCAGGAGTAGAATTTCTGGGATGACTCTAATTTTATGCATCTGTTTTATTCACTGGTATAGAAAAGCTGTAAGCATTCCTGTATTTGCAAATGGAAACATCCAGTGTCTCAGTGACGTGGAAGAATGTATCCGTAAGACAGGAGTGCATGGTGTCATGAGTGCAGGTAAAAAAAATGAACTTTTACTCATAATATATGAGAATATGAACTGTTTCTTACTGTCTTAGCAGGCCCATATACATTTATTAAAAGCTTATGTCAGACTGACTTGGTGAACAGCTTTGATTGAAAGCTGAGTGGCCATTCTCTTTCTTCTTATACTGGCCATATCTTACCAGGACCAGGAATCACTTAAGATTTGTAAGAATTGTTATGTTGAACTTGTAGTACCATTGAGTGGACAGCTCAAATCTGATTACCTGACAAAGGCAAATGGGAGTCCTGTTGTCCTGGATTATTTTCATGACATCTGTTAATCAATGGAATGTTTTTTGAATGGATCTCAATGCAGTAAGTGTGTCCGCTGATTAATATTCCTGCAGATGGTTCATGTTGTGTTGGGACAAGAAAGAATTGGCGTAACTTCCTACAGGAAGAGCTAGGATAGACATTAGAAAAAGGGTTCAATTACTTGCACAGTTAAAGCAATGAAATATATTTTCTGGGAGATTGTAGAATCTTATTTTTAGAAAATACTGGTTAACAAAAGGCTTGTGGAGCTAGTAGAGAAAAGCCTTGTGAGAAGCAGTATCTGTAAACTTAGGCCAGACAAATGTGAATATAGACAAGGTAAGACACCCATTGTCCAAGTATTTAACCACTGGACAACAAAAGCAGTGATTTTTCTATTTATTATTTTTTTTACTGTCTTTGTGTCAAGATTGGATGCCTTTCTGGAAAATATACTTTAATTAGATACGAGCTGTTTGGCTTAATTAAGAATTGTATAGTGAAATACAGTATCCTGAGATCAGGCTAGAGTTTTATGGGCCCTGTGTTCCTCTGTGACTACATGAGTGATGTGTCTGTGACTGGTAGAATCACAACAGAGCTGATCAAGCTCCAGAGCCTAGGTTTTGTTTCTGTTTCAATCCTGAAATGAAAGTTTGAGTATTTCTTTTCATTCCCTAGAAGGTAATCTTCATAATCCAGCTTTGTTTGAGGGCCGAAACCCATTGGTGTGGGAGATGGCTGAGGAGTACCTGGAGATAGTACAGAAGTACCCTTGTCCATTGTCTTATGTTAGGGCTCATCTCTTCAAGCTCTGGCATCACACGTGAGTATCTCCAGAGAACTCTTAATGTTTTCAGGGCTCATCTTGCTTAGCAAGTGTCTGGCTTTTCTGGACAAGGATTCATTTGGCCAGAATTAGTATGCTGCAAGGTTTTCTTTCCTGGACCTGACTGGAGACAATGTGGGCTGAGGCCTCTACCCTTCACTGCGTATCTGGGAAACAGGGCATGGGGAATGAACAAGTTACCACAAGATAACCTAGGGCATGAGCTCACAGCACTTCAGCTACTGTATGGTAATTGCACGTATGCACACATGCACTTTATGGCAAACACAAGTTAACTAACTCTGTTCATTGTGAGGCAAGCTGTCTTGCATTTATTGTGGAGTAAGGGCATGGCCATGGGCAGTTACTGAGGAGCAGCCGATGCACTGTACGTTCACGTTAGCTTATCTCAAAGTACCTTGGTGTGTGCCAAGTATTTATTTGGAAAAGAGGAGCAGGTACATGTGCTTTTCTCTGGACTTAGAAGAAAGAAGATAAGCTCCTACTAAAGGCAAGTGCAGCAAGAAAAATCTACCAAAAGCTTTTATAAAGACGTTTTTAGTTGATCTCCTCAGTCTAGCAATAATGAATAAATATGACTTGATGTTTGGGATTTGCCTCAGGCTTCAAGTTTACCAGCAGCTGCGTGAAGAATTAGCAAAAGTGAAGACTCTAGAGGGCATTGTAGATGTCAACAGGGAGCTGAAACTACGATGCCAGGTACCAAGATGGGCCCTAATCTCCCAGAACACCACTGTCTGCACTTGGTGGGAACTTACCATGTATGTCATGCAGTTGATGTCTTTTAGTCACTTCATTGCAACTTTGTGGCTTACCAACCTTGATATTGGTAGTTTACTACAGTAGCAGCCCCTTAAGCCTGAACAGCTTTACATGGGATAAAGTTGATTTAGGAATTACAAATCTGCTTCAATTCATCTGTGTTAGTAGAGGTTTTTTGCCTATGTTTAACTGTCAGTAACTGTTAAATTCCAGTTTGTGGTTTCCTGGAGTTTATTTAGAGTATTTCCTGAGAACTCCAGGAAAACTGACTGTTACTTTATGCTGCAGGAAGAAATAGCTAATCAGAAAGAAGGAGAAAAGCCAAAAGAAGGGTTGCCTTTTTTCCACTGGATCTGTCAGCCATACATCAGGCCAGGGTGAGTTATCTATTCTAACATGGACAGGTATCCATAGGCCTTTTCCACCCATACTATCAGTACAGACCCATCCAGTTCGGTTCTAGGAGCTTACATTCATTTGAAAATAAGTGAAGACTTTGGATTATTTTTATTCTGGTTCGGTTTTTTTTTTCCTGATTACGGCTTTGTTTGTGGGGATGTTGCTCATCGTATGCATCCTCTCCCTTAGATCCTCCTCAGATTTCTCTCTTTCTGAAAACAAAAAAACCCAAGAATTCCACTGCACCTCAGAAAGAGAACCTGATGTGCTACCTGACAGCTAGCTGACATGCTACCTGACAGTACTTTATTGTTATATGTAACACAAATGTTGCTGGTAACTGCCAGGATAGCAAAGAATAAGTTATATTCTGTAAAGGATGCTTGTGTTATATAGACAAGCTTTTCAGATAGCTTATTCCCTCTCTGTTGTGGAAACTGGGCTGAAGAAGGGAACGAGCGTGTCAAGATTAATACTTAATAAAGTAAATACTTAAATGAAAACTAGGAATAACAGGTTAACAGGTACCTAAGTAATTTAACTGGCCAACTTTAATTGACTTTCCAACCAATATATCTGACAGTGTGTCTATTATTAACAGCCAATGATAACAAAAACAGATAGGTTTTTCTATTCCATGTCCTTGTAATTTAGCTGTGATAGGTTTACAGTTTACCTAGATTTCTGTAAATCAGAATAGTGGCCAGGGAACACCTACTTCTTCCCTTCAGCCAACTTACAATGATATTCACTGTTTCAGGCCAAAGGAGAGATGCAAGGAGAATGGAGCCAGTGGGACTGAAAAAGGTGTGCGAGGGAAACGTGCTCTGGAAGAGGAGGAAGATGGAAATTCTGAGCTTCTGTCAAAGAATAAGCAAAAAAAGAAGTTAAGAAATCCAAATAAAAGCTTTGATCCATCTTTAAAACGTAAGTTCTATTTATTGGCGTAAATGCATGGAAAGTTGCTTATATCACATTTGACATAAATTGCCACTATTTATTTTCCTTGTTTATGTAGTTGTAAAAACTTCTTTAAAAAGAGGGGGTATTATCATCAGGAAGTTTTGATAGTAGGCAATGTGATTCAAATTATGTTAATTAGTAAAGAAAACAAGGATCAAAGAAGTAGGTCACTGATTTGCTATAAGCATCTTTTTAATATCAAAATGCTTTGCAAACTAAATTGGATGTGACTAGTATTTGAAATTGGAATTTCGTATGCATTTCAAGCAGATGTCCTCTTTTACATGTGACTTGAGGATTAAAATTTTCTATGTTTGGAATTAGCTTAGATGCACTTAAAAAGTCAAGGTATCTTCACCTTGGCACTGTTCTTTGAGGTACAGTATTTTTATTTGAAAAAAAGTCTCTCTCTGGCTAGAAAAGCGCCAAGTTTTGTCTGATCTTAATATTTTTTAATTTCCTTCTTCCACATAAAAATACCATTGCTGAAATTGGTCTCTCTCTCCTCCAGCCAAATACGCAAAATGCGATCAATGTGGAAACCCTAAGGTAAGTCAGTGCCAGTGTCCATTAAAGCATTTCCCCTAAATGGAAATTAACTGACCGTGTAGTGGTCAGTGGCTCAATGTCCAGATGGAGATCAGTGACAAGTGGTGTCCCTCAGGGGTCTGTACTGGGACCAATACTGTTTAATATCTTCATCAATGACATAAACAGTGGGATCAAGCGCACCCTCAGCAAGTTTGCTGACGACACCAAGCTGAGTGGTGGGGTCAACACGCTTGAGGGATGGGATGCTGTCCTGAGGGACCTTGACTGGCTGGAGAGGTGGGCCCATGCGAACCTCATGAGGTTCAACAAGACCAAGAGCAAGGTCCTGCACATGTGTTGGGGCAGCCCCCGGTATCAGTACAGGCTGGGGGATGAAGGGATTGTGAGCAGCCCTGAGGAGAAGGACTTGGGGGTACTGGTGGATGAAAAGCCGGACATGAGCCAACAATGTTCGCTCGCAGCCCAGAAAGCCAACCGTATCCTGGGCTGCGTGACCAGCAGGTCGAGGGAGGGGATTCTGTCCCTCTGCTCTGGTGAGAAAGTCCCCTGCAGTACTGCGTCCAGCTCTGGGGTCCCCAGGACAAGACAGACACGGAACTGTTGCAGTGAGTCCAGAGGAGTTCACAAAGATGATCAGAGGGCTGGAGCACCTCTGCTATGAAGACAGGCTGAGAGAGTTGGGGGGAGTTGGGGTTGTTCAGCCTGGAGCAGAGAAGGCTCTGGGGAGACCTTATCGCAGCCTTTCAATACTTAAAGGGATCTTAAAAGAAAGGTGGGGACAGACATTTTAGTGGTGTCTGTTGCAATAGGACAAGGGGTAATGGTTTTAAACTAAAAGAAGGGAGATTCAGACTGGATACAAGGAGGAAATTTGTTACACTGAGGGTGGTGAAACACTGGTGCAGGTTGACCACAGAGGTGGGAGATCCCCCATCCCTGGAAGCATTCAAGGCCAGGTTGGATGGGGCTTGAGCAACCTGATTCAGTTGAAGGTGTCCTTGCCCATGGTGGGTGGGGTTGGACTCAATGACCTTTGAAGGTCCCTTCCAACCCAAACCACCCTGTGATTCTATTCTATGATTCTAAATCCTGAAATAGGTCCATGCCAGTGTTAAGTAATGTATGCATGCCAAGTCCTGCTGATATGTACAGGGGAAAAAAAAGGTCCATACTTAGGCAAAAGCCTCTTAACTGTAACCAGTCTCTGAGGTGAAGGCGCTGCGCAAAAGTCGCTAACACGTAGGTTGAGAGCATTTGCCTTCCTTTCCAAAAAAGTGCTGCTGCTGCTATTTATTGCTAAGACAATTGAGTGAGCTAGATGAACTTCCCAAGATCTCTTGGAGACAAATCTCCAGACTGTCAGTAATGACACATGTATATTGCACTGTGAAATTAAAAACAAACCCCCTCTTACTAGGATTAGTGGTGGGTGGTGTTTTTCTGCAAGGATTGAGAATTTGTATAACTGGTGTGGTTATTGGTGTACTAATACAAATACTTAAAACATCATTGCAGTAGTCTGTAGTGTCAGGCAGCACTCTGCAGCCCTGTTTTCTGTTGGTTTTTGGATCTGTGCCTGTAATCAGAACAAGAATGAGCACCTAGTCATTCTCAGCTCTGATTTTGCTAGTAGTTTAACATCAACTTTCACCATTAGCAATGTTAAACATGCCAGCTGTTTTCCAGGTTGTGTATAGCATATTTGTTTGGGGTTTTTGGGGTGGGTGGGGTTTTTTTGTGTGTCTGTCTGTCTTCGCTTGGGGAACATAGCTGTTTACTTGACGGGGAGATGTTGCTGAACTGTCAGCAGAGTGTAGTTATTGCTGCTAATATACCTGTGCATGCAGACATACAGAGTGTAAGCAGCAAGGAACAATTTTGTGTTCTAGCTGAAAAAAAGTAGCATTACAGCTATGGAGGTGGGGAGACAGGGACACAGGCATGTGGAGTTGGCTTTCTTTTGTAACACTATTAAAGCACCTTAGAAATAGCAGCCAGCTGGAGCTCAATTTGGAGCTGCAGCTACAGAATAAAATGTTTTTCTTGCTGTGTTCATTATTGGGAAAACATTGAGCATTCATCTGGCCTGCTTTCAAAGCCATCTTGTTTCATAGCTAATCCTGGTGACACAGCTTGGTGTGTCAACCATGCTTCTCTGAAGCTGGGCTTAGTCTCTTTTCGTTTGCTCTTACATCATTGTAATGTTGCAGGCAGCCCTTGCAATCTTGTGATTGGGCCTGTGTTTTTATTTTTTTCCCCTACATTGTGTATTTCTAAGCTGTGTCATAGAAGGGGGAGGAGAATACCACCACCACCACCAAAAAAAAAAAAATTAAAATTCAACCAAGGACTTTCTAAACATGAAGGAATTTTTAATTGGGCTGGAGGGAGAAACACCAAACAACAAAACCCCACTTTCCTGAAGGATCACTAAGCGTGTGTGAGCCCAAGCACCACAGACACGTAGTCTAGTCTAGCCACGTTGTCGGCTATCGAAGACTCAACTGCTGCTGTCCACTAAGGGTCATACATTATATTTTAATATATACCCAGGTATATTTTAAGCTGCAAGTAGGGAAGCAGTTGCTGTGGTAACATTTATTTTAGGCATAGCTACAGATGGTAGCAAGCATGTCAGGCACTGTTTCACATGCTACTTCTGCAGAGAACTACAGCAAGCTCACTTGCAACAAATGTCATAATTGGTCCAGAGTGCTTATGGCACTTGCCTGCTTGTGTTGTGTAACTTGGGCTGCCCAACAGATTACTGATGTTGCAGAAGTTGAAGGTGAAATTTTTTTGTTTGGTTTGTTTTTTGTTCTCTACGTACAAACAGTTGATAGCTGCCCCCCCCATCCACTCTGTCATCTTCATTAGACTGAGGTATGACTGCCTAATATACAAGTTCATGGTTTTTTCTTCCAAAAGTCTGAATGTGCAAAGGTGTATTGTTGTTGCTTATTATAGCAAACGATAATAATTTTATCTTCACTGATACAAACTTCTTTATACCCCACCCCACCCCCCCCATCCCAACCCAGGGCAATAAATGTGTATTTAACATGTGCCGAGGATGCTGTAAGAAAAGAGCATTCAAAGAGACAGCAGACTGTCCAGGTAAATGCATCTGTCCTTACAAGTCATTAAGCAAATAAGTAAGTAAGTGCCATGTATATTCATTACTCTAATTTTTGGTTTGTGGGGGGTGGAGGGGGTGTGGGTGTTTGTTAAAGTCTACCTACATAGCTATCTAAAATTTTATGGTACAATTTGAAAAGCCTGGTCTTCCTTCTATGTACAGTATTCTGCTTCCAAAGCCTTGGGATGCATAGTTTCCAGACTGTGAGGACCCATTCTTTATAAGGAATGAGCTGTTCTGTTTACCAGTGGTCATCTGATTTCAGTTTCTTTCTCTCCCTCCATCCCCCATCTTTGCTTCTTCAGGTCATGGATTACTTTTTAAGACCAAATATGAAAAATCCCTTTCATGGCAGAGTAGTCAAAGAGCAATTCAAAACCCTGAGATCAGTCGGAGAGGAGATGCAGATGTGGGGGAGACTGCTGTACTGAAGGAGGCTGGTGACACTGCAGTGTGAAACTTTGGAAATGAATAGTTAAAGACCTCCAGCCAGGCCTGTGCTTCCCTGGGCCAAAGAAAATGCCATCTCCAGCTCACCGTCAGCTGTGTGAACTTATTCCACAGGTTTATTTTACGTTCTGGAAAAGTTTTATTTAAGTAAAAAGCTGCTTACTCAGGGAATTATCCTGCATTTGAAATAAAAAGGATGCAATTAAATTTCTTATGCTGTGTTTTAAAGACTGAAAATGCTGCATTTTTTTTTTTTTTTTTTGGGGTGGGGCAACCTATGTAAGCTGCCATCACAATTGCCTCTTGTATGTTCATTAACCCTTAATGTCCTGTTTTTAATATTGGGGAATAAATTTCTTGTATTAGAACAGTCTTCTGGTGTGCTAAAAATAGCGATGTCAATGACTTCTTCACTAATAGAAAATGCGTCATGTTTGAGTTTCAGCAGGCCATATTTTCAATGCAGGAAAAGAATCTAGCAGTACTTTGAAAATGTGAATGTAAAACTGTAAAATGTTGCTATAACCACATTGTGTATTAACAATTACTAGTTTTATACAGTGTGATAAAGCTTAATGGTCTCCCATAAGCCAAAGGTTGGGGGAAATGAAATCTCTATTTTAATAGAGCGGGTTGTCTGAAATTATGTACTAAATTAGAACCAAGTCCATAAACCTTTTCCTGCTCAAAGTTTCATACTAAATTATATGATCATTCTTTATCTGTCCCACCTAATAAATTATGTGAGAAATGCATCAAAGCCAGATGGGGGTTGACACATGCAAGATCTCTACCTGGCTTTTACCTTTTTTCCCCATGGGCTTTGCGTGCCTCCTAGGCACTCGGTCAGTGTAACCTTCCAGTGTTCAGTGTACTGTAAAGAATGTCAGCAGCCAAAAAAAAAAAAATAGCCAGCAATAGAATGCAGCTGTTTGTTTAATAAAATTGAATAAATGGAAGTCAAGCCATCCCATGCTTAAGCTAGAATAAATAAATAAAGCTCAGCTTAGCTTTGAAAATTTTATCTTCCTGTGGCCTGTGTTCTCAATGCAGTTTATCTGACTGCATGCTTAGTGACCCTGCTCCACAGTGTACTGCCATTTCCTGCAGCTCCAGATGGAGCATCTTTGCTGCAGAGCTGCTAGCACCTTCTTTGCACACTAAAAGCAGCAGGCCAGTTAATGCATGCTTTCTTGTCATGTGCAGCCTACTGAAGGGAACAAAGCAATGATGCATTGTGGAATCTAAAACATGCAGTGTAGCTATGCTTGGTGTGGCAAAGCCAGCACATTATGAGCAAGCCTTGTATAGCACTAGAGGCTCTAACTGCAAAATTAGCAGATCTTAAACTACTGTTCCTCCAAGGGAAGTGGAGAAAAGTGGCAAAGAAGAAGGGAAGAAAAAAAGCACCCGGGGGGGGG